AATTCAACGTCAAGAATATTGTTTTTAATCAAAGCAATAAATGTATCGATGATATAGAGAGAATTGTCACTGCTGCTTATGAAACGTAATATCTCATCATATTGATCGGAAAATGTTGATAAATAAAGGTATTGTATGTTATCTAAAGCTTTAAAATGAATTAATTTTAATGAAAAAATGAAAAAAATCTGGTTAATATAATGCGATAAATATTCGAATAAATTTTCCAGTAGTATCAAATCTATTTGAAAGATATTCGAAGAAGTGATATTTTGAATTGTGAATTTTAATATTGTTTCATTTTGTGTAGATTGCTCGATAATGAAATGTATCAAAAGATTCATTGAATATGAGTCAATGGAAAAGCTTAAATCCTTAGGGATATCCAAAATAAATCTTAATAAAGAAGATTCGTCTTGAAAATTAGCTTCCGAAAGTTCTATTTCAGTCGGAGCTGGAAGATTCCGATCATTTATGAATCTCGAAACGACAGAAAATTTGTATTGTTTATATTTCATTATTCGAAATGATAAACTTCAAAATCTAAAATTTATTTTTTTACAATATATTTCATCCTATTGTCAAGGCTAAATTTTTCACCGGAAGTGTATCAAAAATTGATAAGATTTACGGTGATCTAATTATGACAATTCAATGCATCTCGTGATATAACGCAGATATAAACACAACTGATATTGCATAACTAATAATTGAGTCAAATAACTAAATTATGTGTTATATTTTACACATATTTCTTCAATTTTGTAATAAATGGATGTTTAACACTAATTTTTTAAGGACTTCGACTTTAGCATCACATAAATATGTTATTTTCTATATTAAAACGTAATTTTGGTGGTCTTAGAATAGAAAAATATGCAATATTCGTGGAGATAATGAGGGTTCTTAAACATGTTCTTAAAAATAAATAAAATAATACAAATCTTTATTCAATCTTTTGATATTGTTGGTCCTCTCTTTGTGAAAATACTTAACTTCAAAGAGTATTATGTTTTACCTAGTGAGGACCTTAAGTTTGCAAAAACATAATAAAAGTAAAATAAAAAAGATCGGATTTATCACAAAACTTTGAGTATTATAGGATTTAATATATTTTCTTAGTAGATTATATGATTTAGTTTCTTAAAATCTAAAGTATTTCTTGAGGAAAATATAAATTGAAATTCAAAAAGTAAAAAAAATGTAAACAAATCAAATTTTAAATGGACCAAATGTTGATTTTTCATTCGTTTTCTCATTATCGAAAAAAATTTGGAAAGCTAAGAAGTCAATAACAAGTTATATAATACAACAAAACCACATCGGATATGTTTTCATCAAATAGTCTCCTAGATTTGTTATGAAATTAAAATATCATGATATTTTAAGGGCTTTTGATTTCAATATTAGAATTATTCAGTTATGTCGTGCTAATATCAATTGCTTTATACAATTAATCGTTTACAAGCTGCAAAAATCGAACAATAATTTGACTTTGTAAAAAAAGTGCGTCATTTTTATTCGTTATACTTACAAAATGTAAACATTACGAGAAACATTTACATTTGTAAATGTAACAAGTAAAGTTGTATCGCATAATTTGACTTTGTAAAAAAAGTGCGTCATTTTTATTCGTTATACTTACAAAATGTAAACATTACGAGAAACATTTACATTTGTAAATGTAACAAGTAAATACATCAGATTTAAATTGTAAATGTAGTTTATCTCTCTCATCTCCTTTTTAAAAGGTATTACATACATACGAACGCATGGGTCACTCAATAATTAGCGTGATAATAATTGAGGATAGACTGTAATCGTAATTTTATTTTTGGACTTATATTTCGACATTTTGAAGTCGCTTGAAAGTCTTGCAAATGATTAAATTTGGAAAATTTGACCTAAGTCTGCATTATTTTGATGACTTAAACAATTCTATAAATCTGTTTTCCTAAAAATTTAAAAAGATATAATTTCAATTTCCCTAAATTTATGTAATTCATATATCACCAAAATATTTGGACTGCATTTCGTTTGTCTGCACCTAATTAAAGTCTAAATACCAATTAATTTTGGAGTTGCATTGCTTTTAATGTAAAAATGCACGTTTAGAAAAAGACGATAACGATTAAATTACAAAATCGATAACGACGACGATTAAATTACAAAATCGATAACCTCTCTCGACTCTCCGTACTTCTGTACTGATTGTCTAAGTAATTCATCTTCCTCAGGACTGAAATTGTTCCTCTTGTGATATTGAGCTCTAGTGGATGGTTTGGTTTCCATTTTAATAATTAAAAATAATGATTCTTTTTAGTGGCAAAACCGCAACCCTCATTGAAAAATTGAAAGTGGCTGAAAAATCTTTATGATTGGTTGCCAAATATTGCTTTACATATCATTAGTATTAAAAAACTAACTATATACTATTAAAATTCAATTATCACTTTTATTTAAATATTTATGCCATCTATATCTAATACGCAGATATCGGTTGGGTAACTTAAAAAAATGTAAAAAATTGAGAAGCTCTTCCGCAAGAATTTGTGTTAATTCAATACTGCGGCCTACGATAAAAGGGTTATCAATATTTAAATCATATTTTACTATATATCAATGGTATACTAATATTATTAGCCTAATAATTTACGCGCTTTTTTCTAAAAAAATTCAATGTGATTCTGAAATTTTTTCAAAAGGAATTTGAACATGAACTTAATTAAAACATTTTATTGAATTTTTAATATAGATGTCCTACCTATGGATACATTCGGTAGCAAAAATTTGTTTGGGACACTAAACAATCGAATAATATACAGCGTTTTTAATTGTTCATCAATATTTATATTTATTCCAATCGGCGATAAGTACCTTTTGAAAAATCCGAGATTTTAATTTTCAATTTAAAAACTGTCCACCTTTATATTACAATCATTGTCAATATTTTCAATGTAAAAAAATCAATGAATAAAAGTATTGAATTAACCGATAGTAATTTAAATTTGAGTGGAAAAATAATAAAGCGAAATGGTTTATAGGATAACATACATTAAATTAATATATCAAAAATTAAAAGCGACCGAATAATTAGATTGTATCCACAAATCTTTCCGCTCTAACACAAAAATTCAAAGCATTTTGAAAAAAATTCGGAATGGAACGTCAATAAATAATTAATATATCAAAATCCAAAATTTAGCAAAACTCATATTCTCATTAATTTAGATATATGAAAACAATTTCATTCCTAACACATTTCGATATTTTGAATTTTCTGAGACAGACTTTTAATCATCGGAATTAAGTGTGCCAAATTGCTCCTTATATAGTATTATTTAAAGTTTTCTATTGATGAATATTTAAATAATGACTATTTTACAATAATTTGCTTATTTTTACATCCAATACTTATTATTTTTACACTTTAATACATTACTCATTTTACTTGTTAATTATTTAATCTATATTGCTTAGCAATTGACACAGCGCTGTAACAATGATTCTTGAATGGAAATATGATCCTTTTTTCAAACTTATTGAATAAAATAATGCTATTTATCTGATATAATTCCAATACATTAATCAAGTTTAAAGAAAAATACTAATTATTTATTTTCAAATATAATTAAATATTGGATATTCAATGAACTAATTGTATTAACTTTTATGCTCCAACAGTACTTCTTCCATCCATATTTAAAAATTAATAAATTTATTTAATTAATGGAATTTCCAATCCCTTAAAAATCAATTTTTAGATTTGGTTTCTTTGAAATCTTTTTTGACATCGCACTTTACAGGCATATTAACCCAAAATTTGCCTTGAAAAACATTCCAAACCATTGAAAAACAAAATTTTTGTAAATAAGGTTTATGAAGGTTCACGATTTTCTGTGGCTATTGTTTGTTATATTTGATGATTGTTATCCATTTTTTATCATGAATTTTCATATCAAATCAGAAACCGCCTCGAGTAACCACCAAAAACAATTGAATACTATCTCCGAAATGGATTCTTATCAAAAATTTGAATAGACTTGTCTAAAAATAAACCAACAACATCCTTGGATTATTCTAATCTCATCAAATTCAATAAATCTATTTTTACAGTTATCGGCTGATCCGTGTCAAGGTCTGTTTCATATGTAAGTATCATAAAAAGCATCTTGGTAAATGATCGGACAAAATTATCTAATTATTGAAAACAGGTGTAAAGATATCTATTCAATGAATTATTTTACACTTCAATTTTGAATAATTCATTGAATTTTTTGACGATTTTTTCAATTTTTTTGACACCCATAACTTAGGAAGATTTGACATCATAAAATTTATATTATTTGTACTGCCCATATCAAGATGAGCCACAGTTTATGATTTTTAAAGATAAATCTCTAAAAGATCCGAAAAGAGGATAAAAAATACGATTCGATAAGATATTAGTCAGTAAAACATCAAATAATGAAACAACTATCTGTTGCTGAATATAAAAAATAGATTTTGTTCGATTGTCAACAAGTAAAATCTAAAACAATGAAACAATAAAGTTGGTATGATTATTAAAGAAATAAGATTTAATCAGCTATTAGCATGATAAATCTAAATCATTGATTCGTTTAATTGCAATCGTTATTAAAGAAAAGACTTGTTCAATTGTTATCTAGTAAAATCTAAAATAGCAAACCACTCTATCATTTAACTATGGTGAAAACAAAGCTTTATTATTATGTCAGACAAAATCTGAAATTTTCAATTAATCTATCATCGATTTGTTATGAATAATAAGATTCGCATAATTCTCAGCTAGTAAAATTTCAAAAATCAAATTGTAATAAAAAAGATATATGTTGAATAAGTAGTTAGTTATAACTAAAATAAACAAACAATCTATCTATATATATGAGATTGGTTCAATTGCTAGCTAGGTATAGGTTAAATAGGTTGATTGTTATACTTAATTATCGATAATTAAAAAAAGTAATAATAAAATTAATTTATTCTGCAATTAATCTCTTTCTTAAACCGCTTCTCATTTCCATCAACTGTCTTGTGAGTAAATAGTCAACATTTACTCTTGTCAACATTCCATCGCAGTTGTTGAGTGCTCTGGCAGTTACATTGAACTTGTACTTCTCAGAGACTTCAGCCAACCTCACGAACAAGTCGATTGAACAATCCTTTGACATCGCCATGTTCAATTTCGATGAAACAGAAGACATCTCAACAGCCCTTGTGTAATCAGGGTTCTGAGCCATCTTCATGAGTATCTCGCAAGCAGCAATTGCTCCGTACTTGTCATCACTCGCAATGAAGTGAACAACCAAGTCGAGAATTCTTCCAGAAATGCCAATATTCGCTCTAGGAAGAGGACATCTCGAAACGATTCTGAAAACTAATCCTGCGTAATCAGAGTTTGTTTCCGCGAGAGACAAGATTTGTGGTGCGAGTTTTTTGAATGGAGACATCTCTGAGATGTTGTACAAACAGCCAACAGCTAATGTTGTCTCCAATTGACTCAATGCACCAATTTGAAGAAGTGTAAACAACATGTCAGAAACTTCTTCGCAAAGTAGCAAAAATTTGGGAGCAGACGACAAAACACCGAGAATTCTCATGCAAACTTCGGGAAGTTGTGGGATCTTGTGCTTGAGAAGTGATAGAACACGATCTATTACGTATTTGTCGCTGATAACTTTCGATGGAAAATATGCGCCAATTCTGATAAAAAGTGACAAAATTGAAGGAACATTGATATTTTTCTTGAGATAATCTTCATTTTGTAAGATGTATTTCGCAGCTTCAGAGAACTGGCATAACCTGAACATCAATCTGCCGGCAGTCTCTATGTTCTGAAGCTGGAAAATGTCATCAATAAATGACTTCCTTGCCGATAAAATTTCAATGACTTTTATCGGCAAAACGGTTATTACAACCGCCGCAGCTGCTCTCATGTCAGGGGAGTTCTTTTTCTCTGAGAAAGCCTTGAGTAAGTAGATGACATCTCCCTGGCGAATCGACTGATTGAATTCGTCAATTCTACAGATGTTTTCCGCGAAATCGACGGAAGAATTCGAAACAACTAAGTCAACATTGATGTGCTTAGCGAGTTCTGGACTGAATCCGCAAATAGACACGTAAGCATTGAAGAGTTTGCCTCGGAATTTCATCTGTAGACCAGAAAGAAGATCGTACTTGTGGTTTTCGAGAGAATCTTTGAAATCCGCTTCTGGTTTTGCATCGAGAATGATGCAGGAGGTCTCATAGAGCTTCCTATCCAATGTAACATTGAATAGTTCAACAGCGGTCGTCAAGGAAATGAAGGGAGAGATATGAGCAATAATTCTGCTGCCGGATTCAGCGATTTTCAGGTTCTTATCGTCGAGCATTGCAATAATTGTCTCAACACCACCGGAGTTGATGAATTCGGCCACTGAAATCTCGTTGTCCATGACAACAATCAATGCGGCCGTAATTATAGGGATATCCTTGAACTTCATGAGGTTCGGAGTGACCTTTTCGATGAAGTGCTTCTGTTGGAGACTAGAAACAATCTCTGGCTTGTTGGAAAGTACTTCAGTTCTGATCAGATCTGTAATTGTTGGGTTTTCTGGGGTTTCGATGAGGGAAATAATTACGTCATCAGGTGTCTTAGGGCGTGTATCGACGTTCACGTTGTTTAATGAAGCATGGCGGGTTGATTTAATTGTTTGGTCAACGTAATTAGTGTTTTGAGCTTGTTCATAGAATGCAGCAAGCTTATTCATGTCGGCTCCTGGGAATGCGATTCGCGAACGGATGAAATTTGACTTAATTTGTTCAAATGTTGGCCTTGAATCGGGATTCTGAGCCCAGCAGCTCTGGATGAGGTCTTTGAGCTGGGCAGGAGTATTACGAGGGAACTCTGGACGCTGTCCTTTGACGATTAAGTCTCCAATTTGATAAGAATTTGAAACATAAGAGAAAGGAACTTGTCCAGTGAGCATTTCCCACAGCATCATGCCGAAAGAGAACGAATCTGCCTTCAGCGTGTACCTTGCCCTTGTAATAACTTCAGGAGCCATGTAATTGTAAGTTCCGACTAAACCAGTCATGATTTGGGAGTCAGCGCTTCTGGAAATACCAAAATCGCAGACTCTGGCTTCATTATCCTGGGAGACCAAAACGTTCAAAGTTTTGAGATCTCGGTGAATAATGTTCTTGGAGTGGAGATACGCGACACCGTCAGCGGACTCATAAGCTATCTTTGTAAGTTCCGTTGCATTCAAGCGGTTGTTTCGGAGGCAGCTGTAGAGGGAACCGTTGTCCATGAAATCTGTGATAATCCAGTATGGTGGAGTCGATGTCGCGCCAACAAATTCAATAAGATATGGATGCCTAAGTGAAGAAAGAATGGCAATTTCTCTTCTAAGCGATTCAATTTCTGGATCAGTCAAATCAAGGTTATTTAGCTGTTTAATAGCAACAGTTTTATTTGTTGGCAAATGGATGGCCTTAAAAACGTTGCCAGTAGCACCTGTACCGATTTGTTGTTTAAGTTGGAATTCTTGTCTGTCAACTTCGTATTCTTTGATGTGACTAAATATTTCTGCAATCATACTATCTTGTACAACAGTTGCTTTTGGCAAATTATGATCTTCTAAGAATTTTACGATTGATTTAAGACGATCTTTAATTCCAGGTGTTGAATTTTGAGCTGGAGCAAGGACATGATAAATTTCGTGATAGTCTTCTGTGTAATCTGCTGCTGTAGGTTCGAAAGTTTCAATATTAATGTCAAGTTCTGTACAGGCGCGTTTTATTGTTACAGTAATAGTTAACAAATCATCTGTTGGTTGGACTGCACGCCACTTAAAGGCAATAGTAATCCATACACCATCAGTTAACATCTTGATTGTGTTGGCTAATAAGCCCAAACTTGTTTCGATACTACGTAATGCCTCGGTTTCTTCGAATAATGCTCGCTGCTTTTTAATCAATGTGCAAGTTTCGAATAATGAACTTAATTTTAAGAGCCAAGTCCGTAATAAAATGATCTCTTTCTTGTATACGACAACATTGGAGATCGTGTCATTAATCAACCTAATCTGATCTATTAAATCAGGAATAAAATGACAGGGTTCCATCATATATTTATAAAAAAAAGTTTTTTTTTCGATGATTTTTTTCGATGATTTTTTTCTGACGGAATTTTATTTCATTTTAACATTCTATATATAAATATTCAACAAATCACAATTATTCTAAGTATTTTATTTAATATTGTTGCCGTTGTCTTCACAAATTGATGTCAAATTTGAATTACCCACGGAGAAGATAAAATAACTCCATTTTACTGTATATAAGTTCATTTATTACATTAAAACTAGGCAACTCACTATTTAGATGCTTTTCTCCAAGTTATTTAATGAATTGACAAATTGTAATGAGATTTGATCCTTTGAATTTCATTTCTTTCTTTTACTGTATGAAAATTTGACTTAAATAGTTCGAACTTAACACTTCTCCTTAGAAAACCTCGTGCAATTTTCATTTTAAAAAAATGCCAAATCCAAATCTTCTAAATTCTGTAACCAGGCATATTATATTTTAAGACATGGTAATATATTTTCGTGAAGGTCAACAATAATATCAAAATTCAGTCATTTTTCAATATTACATTCTATAGAAATGATATTATCAACGGATATTATCCTCACGAAATACATATCTCGAATATCCGATCTAGAATCAGAAATATTTAATCTTAAACTGCAAAATATTCAACTTCAGACTGAAATAAAAAAACAACAATCAATATTTAAAGAATTGCTATCAAATAACATACAGAATAAGACAATACAGTATGACGAAAAGCCAATTGTAGAAGCTGATAATCAATCTAATGCATATAAAAAGGAAATAGAAAACTTAAGAGAAATTATCAAAGAAAAAGAACAACAAAATTATACTTTAATGAAACAGATAGAGAGTTTACATACAGAATCCGATAAGTCGTTAGCATTAACTGCAAAATTACAATCAAAACTAACTGAATATGCTAATCAGGTAAAACAGACTAATAGTCTAAGCATTAATAATAAAAATACTATCGATAAACCTGATTTACAAGAAAAATTAGATAATGAAATTAAATTACGCAAAATCTTAGCCAAATACCTAGTTAAAATCATTAAACTCTTTGAATAACACATAAATGATATAAATTCTACATCATTAACCAAATTACAGCAACTTTCAAATAGAATTTCAGCAATTTCAGATAAATTTTTCTTAAAATAGTTGTTTTATTATTAATACTATCTTTTATTTGTTTTTATAAGATAAACTATGAAAACTTTAAGTACATAATTATATCAGTTTTAATAAAATTAACAAATTAGTATAAAAATTACAGCCAAATTTCATTTGTTTCTTCGACATTTGTGTTATTATCATCAGGATTTATTTGGCCAATGTCATCTTCCGATATATCGAATATCTCATTGTACTTGGCTGCTGGTGGTGGTGGTGGAGCGTCAAGAGCATCGAAGTTGTCGAAATCGACGTCTTTTGACTTATATTCAGCAGCAGATTTCTTGCGCTTGAGGACAATAATAACAACAACGATAATAATGATAATGAGGGCAACAGCAATGATAACAAAGATGTACCAATTATCTTTGATGTTGAATGAACTTGATGATTGTGCATTATCATCATTTGGTTCAGATTGGTTAGTTGGCAATGGTGTTTGAATGTATTCGGATGGCGAAGGAGTAGATGGGATAATAGGTGTAGGAATGATAACTTCTTCTGATTCAGTACTTGATGAAGATGATGTTTCAGTACTTGAAGATGTTTCAGTACTTGAAGATGTCTCTGTACTTGATGAAGATGTTTCAGTACTTGATGAAGATGTCTCTGTACTTGATGAAGATGTCTCTGTACTTGATGAAGATGTTTCAATGGATGAAGATGTCTCAGTGGATGAAAATGATGTTTCAGTACTTGATGAAGATGATGTCTCAGTGGATGAAGATGATGTCTCAGTGGATGAAGATGATGTCTCAGTGGATGAAGATGTTTCAATGGATGAAGATGATGTCTCAGTGGATGAAGATGATGTCTCAGTGGATGAAGATGATGTTTCAGTGGATGAAGATGTTTCAGTGGATGAAGATGATGTTTCAGTGGATGAAGATGTTTCAGTGGATGAAGATGATGTCTCAGTGGATGAAGATGTTTCAGTGGATGAAGATGATGTTTCAGTACTTGATGAAGATGATGTCTCAGTGGATGAAGATGTTTCAGTGGATGAAGATGATGTTTCAGTACTTGATGAAGATGATGTCTCAGTGGATGAAGATGTTTCAGTGGATGAAGATGATGTTTCAGTACTTGATGAAGATGTTTCAGTGGATGAAGATGTTTCAGTGGATGAAGATGTTTCAGTGGATGAAGATATTTCAATGGATGAAGATGTCTCAGTGGATGAAGATGATGTTTCAGTGGATGAAGATGTTTCAGTGGATGAAGATGATGTTTCAGTACTTGATGAAGATGATGTCTCAGTGGATGAAGATGTTTCAGTGGATGAAGATGATGTCTCAGTGGATGAAGATGTTTCAGTGGATGAAGATGTTTCAGTGGATGAAGATGATGTCTCAGTGGATGAAGATGTTTCAGTGGATGAAGATGATGTCTCAGTGGATGAAGATGTTTCAGTGGATGAAGATGTTTCAGTGGAGGATGAAGATGTTTCAGTGGATGAAGATGTTTCAATGGATGAAGATGTTTCAGTGGATGAAGATGTCTCAGTGGATGAAGATGTTTCAGTGGAGGATGAAGATGTTTCAGTGGATGAAGATGTTTCAATGGATGAAGATGTTTCAGTGGATGAAGATAATGTCTCAGTGGATGAAGATGTTTCAGTGGATGAAGATGATGTTTCAGTACTTGATGAAGATATTTCAGTGGATGAAGATGTTTCAATGGATGAAGATGTTTCAATGGATGAAGATGTTTCAATGGATGAAGATATTTCAATGGATGAAGATGTTTCAATGGATGAAGATGTTTCAGTGGATGAAGATGTTTCAGTGGATGAAGATGATGTTTCAGTGGATGAAGATGTTTCAGTGGAGGATGATATTTCAATGGATGAAGATGTCTCAGTGGATGAAGATGATGTTTCAGTGGATGAAGATGATGTTTCAGTACTTGATGAAGATGATGTCTCAGTGGATGAAGATGTTTCAGTGGATGAAGATGATGTCTCAGTGGATGAAGATGTTTCAGTGGATGAAGATGTTTCAGTGGATGAAGATGATGTCTCAGTGGATGAAGATGTTTCAGTGGATGAAGATGATGTCTCAGTGGATGAAGATGTTTCAGTGGATGAAGATGTTTCAGTGGATGAAGATGTTTCAGTGGAGGATGAAGATGTTTCAGTGGATGAGGATGTCTCTGTACTTGAAGATGTCTCTGTACTTGATGAAGATGTCTCAGTACTTGAAGATGTCTCAGTGGAGGATGTAGATGTTTCAGTGGAGGATGTAGATGTTTCAGTGGAGGATGAAGATGTTTCAGTGGATGAAGATGTCTCAGTACTTGAAGATGTCTCAGTACTTGAAGATGTCTCAGTACTTGAAGATGTCTCAGTGGAGGATGAAGATGTTTCAGTGGAGGATGAGGATGTTTCAGTGGATGAAGACGTCTCTGTACTTGAAGATGTCTCAGTGGAGGATGAAGACGTCTCTGTACTTGAAGATGTCTCTGTACTTGATGAGGATGTTTCAGTGGATGAAGACGTCTCTGTACTTGAAGATGTCTCAGTGGAGGATGAAGACGTCTCTGTACTTGATGAGGATGTTTCAGTGGAGGATGAAGACGTCTCTGTACTTGAAGATGTCTCTGTACTTGAAGATGTCTCTGTACTTGATGAGGATGTTTCAGTAGATGAAGATGTCTCTGTACTTGAAGATGTTTCAGTGGATGAAGATGATAAGGATTCAGTACTTGAAGATGAAGATGTCTCAGTACTTGAAGATGTCTCTGTACTTGAAGATGTCTCAGTGGAGGATGAAGATGTTTCAGTGGAGGATGAGGATGTTTCAGTGGAGGATGAGGATGTTTCAGTGGATGAAGACGTCTCTGTACTTGAAGATGTCTCAGTGGAGGATGAAGACGTCTCTGTACTTGAAGATGTCTCTGTACTTGATGAAGATGTTTCAGTGGATGAAGACGTCTCTGTACTTGATGAGGATGTTTCAGTGGAGGATGAAGATGTCTCTGTACTTGAAGATGTCTCTGTACTTGAAGATGTTTCAGTGGATGAAGATGATGAGGATTCAGTACTTGAAGATGAAGATGTCTCTGTACTTGAAGATGTCTCTGTACTTGATGAAGATGATTCGGTGGATGATGTTGAGTCTGAGCTTGAGGAAGATTCAGTGGATGAAGATGATTCAGTAGATGAAGTTGAATCAGAGCTTGAAGAAGTTTCAGTGGATGAGGATGATTCAGTGGATGAAGTTGACTCTGTACTTGATGATGATTCAGTGGATGAAGTTGACTCTGTACTTGGGGAAGATACAGTAGATGAAGAAGTTTCAGTACTTGAGGATGATTCAGTACTTGAAGATGAATCTGAGCTTGAAGTTGAGTCGGATGAGGTGGAACTTGAAGTTGATGGCTTCTCTTCGTTTTGCTCTAAAATTTCGTAAACATAATCATTTTCATTGGAAAAAGCAGAATTATTCACACCATTATTTATCTCCTGAATCTTTTCAGTAGCAGGCTGCTTGAATCTAAAACTAAAAAGAAAAGAAAGGAGAATAACTATCATGAAAAAAGTAAACTTGCGAAAAATGTAAATTATTGAATTTTTAATTGTGAGAATCGTTATGATTTTATTATAATTTTAATGTACGAATTGAGTGGCTGATGAATTACTTTTGACTTATTTGTAAAAAATTTGAATTATTCTCAAAATTGATTTTTTATAATTAGTGAGACAACTATCAGATACATATGTAATTATTTATTTTAAATAAAATTTGATCAGATATGTCTTTTTATGACTTTGGGTAAAATTTGATAGTTGAAGATTCATAGACATATATCTTGATTAACTTTAATTATCTTTTGAAAGCTATTCAATAAAGTTTTTCAACGTAAAAACAATTTATCTAATATTCTTATTTCATGCAATATAAAGGAGAGACTATAGTCTGATATGTGGTTGATATTGCAGGTTTTTCTTGGATCTGAAATAAAAATTTTGCATCAAAATTTCTCCAATATGATTTTATATTCGAATATCAAATTTAACTTTTCAAAGTTTGAGATGATTCAATTGTAACTCGAAAATTTTCCATCAATTCAATGTAGAATATTTTACATTTGCTATCGTTTTTACAAGGTTCGGACATCTGACTCAAGTTATGGAAAATATAAAATTTTTATATTATCAAGGTCTTTGAAGACCATTGTTTTTTTCCGAAATTCAAAAACTGACCCGAGCAAGTCATGAAATTAAAGAACAGACTATAACACTTGAAATATTCGATTTCAATAATTAAATTTTTTGTTACATCCAGAATCTTTAGAACCGTCATCGAAGTGAAATTCAATTTCAAATTTCATTTTGAAAAATAACAATTTTTATAGTAAACACGTTTGAATGATTTATTATTCTATGTTCAAATTTCTAATTGGCAAAACAGTAGTTTTATTTAATAAAATCGATTTTTTTAGAAATTTTCTGTCCTTTGAGCATGAACAATAACACTTGGGCCATTTTTGCCAAGCTGAACTTCACGAGTGCATGGTGAATTGGCATCAAAGTTATCTAGAGGAATTTCAGTCCTTCCAATTTCTTGATCTTCTGCCCAAAATGATCTACGATTATAGAGGGCAATTACAATGGATGAATTATGGGGATTTGTATAGTTGAAGTTATATTCGGCCTTGTTGAGTCTTTCACCTGCCTTAAATTCCTGAACATTCTTCTTAAAATTTTTGTGTGAACCAACACAAAGGGTAAAAGTTCCTTCTCTGGCACAGCCTTTTGGATTTACAGATGATACTGATACCTTAAAGTTATTGTTACTTGATCCTAAGAGTGTTTCGTACTGAGATCTATGGAGCATGTTAAAAAATGAAGTTATTTTTTATTCATAAAATTTTTTATTCAAATTTCAATACTAATTAGAAATCCGATCATTTAGTATTTCCTACTTATTTTAATAGAATATCTGTAGATAAATTTAATGCAGATAATTCTTTCTTTTGAATATCCATAGAAATGTTAGCATCAGAAATAGATGTGTCAAAAATTATTTCACTTTAAGTATTTAATAGTAACAATTCTTGATTCATTTCAATAAATCTCATTAGAATTAATTTGATTGAATCGCGCTCTCAATTATTTGATAGAAAATCGAACAATTGAATATTATTTTTGCTATTATTTGATACATCCGAAAGCTTATTATTTATTTTAATAAGGGTTTCGTTTTGCTAAAATTGTCACTTTTATAGCATATTTGTTTTTGGATGTTTTGCGAAACTAAAAAAAAACTATGATATACAATGTGTGTGTAAAGAAAATACTTTATTTACTAGTTAAAAAATCATTTGATATTGATCAAGTTATTTTTTCTGGATAAGATATTATATGGATAATTAGATAGAAAATACAATTATATAATCTTGTACCTGGTTTAATTAAGCTAATTGTCATCAGAAACTTGTAATTTTTATGAATTTCAGATTTTCTTTTCATTACTGCTTTTCTTAATAGGTCAAGTTCTTATTTACGTTATAAAGTATGATATTTACAAATATCAAGTTATCGTGTTTTTTGAGAAATTATGAGAAACAAACAAAAATGAAAAAGATAGGAATAGCAATGAATAGTGATGTGGGTATAGAAAATGTAAGAGATATGAATGCAAAGCAATCAGTATTTAGGATATTGACCATAGATTTCGAAAAAAAAATGCTGCATATTGAGCGAAAACTATGATTATATTATAAGGCTGTCATTTAAAGCATAATGAAACTATTCCCTTTTCATTTTAATCGAATAAGATAGTAAAGATTTTTGAATTAGCTAGAAACTGATGAGATGTTTTCACAAATCAGATTTTTAATCTCTATAATGCATAATTCACTCAATATCTCAATTTTGATATTGCGAGATATTTTTGCTATCGGTTTCGCAATTTTGACACAATAGCAAGAGGGTTCTATAAGCATTATTATCAACGTAGAATCTGAATATCATATCAGAAAATGTCGCAAATCTGACATTTACCCGACCAAATAGCAAAAATAATTGAATACTTTTCGCAAAAACTTTAAAAATCGATAAAAATATGAAATATAGATATTAAAGAGACTTTTTATATAATATTCATAAAGATTTTCCAAAAATATGATACCGCAAAATTAAAAAAGTGACGTCTTGAGTGGAGTCAAAGGTCGAAATTGCTAGCTAAATGTTTTTTTAGCGAAATTGCGTATTGTACGTTTTTTTCGCAAAACGAAACCCTTAATTTTAAGTTATTAATAGTGATCGCCACGATGAAATTGAAAAATAAATAAACATATCGTATAATTTTGAGAAGTCTTCACCAAAATTGCGGTATTAATTTTGATTGCAATTCAACATCCAAATATAAATCCTTTGTCTTGCTTAAATTATAGGAAACCGGAAATTCGGTATAAAATTTTCGAACAATTAGGATCACTTTTCAAACATAAACAAAAATTTCGTTAGATTCCTCTATCGTTCCTTTGAGAGTGAGATATTCAAGCATCCAATACTATATATTGAATTACGATCACATAACAATATAGCCACCAATTATCTCATCTCAATCTCGAACAATTGGATGTTGAATCAAAAACATCGAAATGAGAAATGACTTGGACAAAATATTATATACATGCTTAATAAAACTCTGAAATATTTTACTTGATTCCAGTAATACTTCATAATAATTGAGATTGTGATCATGCTCACTAAAAAAAACTAGATATTGAATTATTTTATACTAATGAACCTAAATAATTGCAAATTTTTAATTAATCAATCATGATGATCTGCATTATATCATATCACATCGAAATATGAAGTATTAAAATATGGCCCATACTGACGGTAACCAATATAAAATAACGTACTTTCATAGAGTGGTAAAATGACAATGTATTTATTGACAGAAGACAAAATGTAAAAAAACAATTGTGGTTTTATTATAGAATGAAATTGAATATTCATATGAGATAATTGTATACTGGTTGTTATGACTAATTTTATACATATTCTGATTGAAAATACATAATTTTCCTTTTTGACATTTTTTTTTGAATGGGAATTTTGGATCTCAGAATCTGGGTTAATGCCAAGATTGGTGTTACTCAAGTCCTTTTCATATTCTTATTAGGCCTTATGCCATCTGCACGTTGGATTCTTCCGAACATTAAATCAAGAAATGCCGCGTTATGGTTTCATTATGTGCTATTTCTTATTTGGAATTCGTATTCTCTTTGCTATATGCACTGCATTAATTGCATATCCAGTTCTCCAATTTGATCCAAAATACGTGACTATTCTTGCATGGATCATGAATTCAATTACACACATATACCATCTTATCAACGTATCAGCAGGATGGTCCATGGAAATTACTGGCACATGTATTGTTATCTTTGAGAAAATTGTTTCAACACCTTTCAATCTCTATGATGGCAGACGTCTCAAGAACAAAGAAGACATCAAGAGACCACACCTCATCAAATTCGCTCTTACAGAAAAGCCTTCTCTCTTTGAATGGCTCTCATATTGTTTGACTCCTTTCGGAGGATCAACAGGACCATTCTTTGAATTCAAATACTTCGATTTGATGGTTACAGATCACGAACGCGCTCATATTAAAAGCGATTCTGAAAGCAGAAAACTTGCTTTATTCAAATATTTCGGTTCTTTTGGCTGGGCTGTAGCCACAGTCATCGGATTCAAATACTGCAAGCTTTCCACATACTATGATCCAAATTACTTGAACAAACCATTAATTGTCAGATTGGCCTTAATGATTTTGATTACTTCCTTCCAAGCCATTAAGTATTTCTCAGCCTGGTGGCTTGTTGAAGCTTCTCTTTACGAATTTGGCTTCTTAGAGTCAGATTTAGTAGATTCCAAAGAATCTCCTTCATTTACTAACGAATCCTTCCTTTATGTCATCAAGAGCGAAACATGTGGTCAATGGATGCAAAGATGGAACCATTCTACCCATATTTTCGGGAAGAATTACTTATTCTTCAGATTATTAGACGCAAAATACAGTTATACATTAGCATTCTCAGCAGTATTTGTCTGCAGTGCATTGTGGCATGGATTTAGACCAGTTTACTACATGATTCTCCCTGAATTACTCATCGCAATTTCAGCAGACAAAAGATTGAACAAAATTTTACCAAACAGTGACAATTTTTTAGTTGTTTTTTTGAAAAGATGCTGGGTTGTATTCACCATGTTATCAGCAACAGCTACATGGTGGAGCTCTACAGCACAGGCATTCTTCTATGTGAGAAAAACAGTTAATTTCGCTCCACAAATTTTCGAATTAATTGTTCTCATAATTTTATATTTGATACCAGTCAAAACTGAAAAGAAAGAAAAGAAGGAATAAAATATTAATTTGTTATAGATAAAATGTTTAATTTTTTCTAATTTTAATTTTATTTTTGAAAATATATCACTTCTTAATATGACTATATATGTTTGCCATTGTTCAAATGATGTTTCATTGCATCCACTAATGAAATTAAATACTTGAATATTACTTCAAAAAATTCAATGAATTGAACTTGTTTTTCATGATTAATTTACTTTCTATTATAGTGTAATTAAAATCTACTCTCATTTGAACATATTTTTTTTAATGTTATAATATTCTAATTTTGATTGATATAATGATTAGCTATAATTTAATAATATTAATTTACACAAACATGTAAATTGTGGTGTACTTCTTTTGCGATATTTATCCATTAATTTGTGGTTGAATTCCTTCATCAATTTATTTATATAAATAACAACAATGAAAGTTAAGTAAAAATTTAAGGAATTACATAAAAATGAAAATTACAAATGCAAAATGGATATGTTTCGTTTATTAAAATTTAAAATTACAAATGCAAATGATATAATGAAATATCAATTTGAACGGAAAAATTCATCATTACTCTTGCTCAGTACTTCATCAAAGTGCATCTGTTCATCATATATTTTCCTAAATATCATATATCGATGACAAGTGAAGTAGCCAATTGTCGTCAATTCAAATTTGATAGATTTGAAAGTTCTCAAATATTGAACTGAACCTCTACCCATTATTATCAAAATATTTGATAAAAACTGACCAAACGATTTACATCAGCCTCAGAGTTGAATGATCAATTTTGGCAAAAAGAATTAGAGTTGTTATCAAAATTTTGTATTTATTGCGTTTCGAAATGACTTCATTTTTGTTTCATGTCTGAAACACTTCGCTTACTCTTCCCACAATGGCAAGGAGCAAACTCTATATTACTCAGAACACTTGCTCCTGATCTTAAAGAACCAGGATTTGGCTACACCCTCGGCTCAAGAATGATTAATTTATTAGTTCCTGATCCAAATACAAAAACAGCCACTGTTCCTATTTCTATGGATGAATCTCCAGAAGCCATCAAGACAGAGAATGGTATTTTTGCATATCAAGAAATAAAGAAGAATATTCAATTAGCACTTGATATCCTCAACAAAGAACATCCAAAGAAGGTTGTAACAATCGGTGGGGAATGCTCTGTCAGTCTTGCACCATTTGCTTACATGGCTGGACAGCATAAAGATGATACAGCACTCATTTGGGTTGATGCACATCCAGATATTAATCTTCCAGGCAATGAATATGATGGCTTCCATGCCATGATTTGTGCCCACGCAATGGGTCTTGGAGATGAAGGAATCCTGAAATTACTTCCAGGAACAGTTTCTCCCAAGAACACACTTATGGTTGGATTAAGACAGTTCACAGATCCAGCAGAGAAACTCAGAAAAGAGCTCGGCATTCCATATGTTTCTTGTGATTCTGCAAACAAAAGCCCAGATGAAGTTATCAACTGGATCAAGCAATCAGGAAAGACAAAGATCTTAGTTCATCTCGATCTCGATGCATTGGAGCCAAAGGATCTTTGGGTTGCTCTTGGTAATGATCCAAATGGACTTCACCCATCATCTGTTGCCAAGCTTCTTAATGCAATTTCAAAGGAATTTGATTTGGTTGCTCTCACAATTGCAGAACCATTCCCACGTGAACAAATGAAGTTCAGATCATTCCTTGAGGAGCTTCCATTAAAGTAAGACTAATAAATTAAAGGAATATAGTAAGAAATAACAAATAAATAAAAATGAATAAATTAATTTAATTACCTTTTTAACGGAAGTCATATTTTCATAGAAATATCTTTATAACATAATTTTAGCTGATTTTTAGAAAATGTATTACATTATGATTTTTCGTTTTTTATTTTTTTGATGACGAGATCTCCTCATGAACTAAGATTTCAAATTGAACAAATGAAAAGGAAGATTGAAGAATTAGAAAGGAGATCAGAAGATAGAATATCTTATTTAACAGAAGAAAAGAATTTCTGGAATTCAATCAAATCCGGAAATGACGAAGAAACAATAAATAAACAATATAAACAACTTGAAGCATCATACTTACAATACGCATCTAACATAGAATTAGATAATAATAAAGAAATTTCAAAATATAATTTTCATATTGACGAACTAAAGAACGATATTTCACAAGAGGAAGCGAAAAACGCAAAAATTGTAACAGAAAACATCGATTTAGGATCTAAAATCGATCAATTACAAGGAGAATACAACACATTAATCAATAAATATGTTTTCCTCAGACCGAAATTCGAAAAACTTTTATCTAAAGTAATACAGACTAAAGTACAATCGCATACATCACAAATAAAGAATATTGACAAAATAACAAATTCGTTATCTTCTTTAGAAGAAAAATTAAATCGAGAAAAATTACAAATAAAGGATGAATGCGATTTTTATCATGAAAACAAAAAGAAAATTAAACAAGCAGAAGATATCGTCAAAAGATTAGAGGATGCACTATTAGATATCAGTGATTTACCAGAGTTTTCAGCTCCAGAACCATCAGATCTCATAAATAATCCAGATTTAATTATTAAATTTGTTGATAACGTAGAACAGCATGTTAGAACGAAAGCAGAAGAAAGGGAAAAGAAGCTCTCCAAAAACAATCGATCTGTTGCTGCTACGATGTCTGAATCCAGAAAATCTCCTTTATCAAAAGATGTCGCAAAGGTTATTTGCGAAGTTGGACACAAAGTTGTTGATCTATCCAATGAATATAGTTCTGTTTGTTAATAAAATTATATGGTTTATGAAAAAATAACTGTAAATTGTTTCAATTTTGATCACAAACTATACCTTTTTATTGTGGAATATTACCAATATTCCTATATTATTGTTAAGCATCCCGAAATCTCATCTATACTAGCATATTATGATTATATTTTATATTTGGTAATTTACTGGCAACGGTGAAAAAAAATTATTCAATCAAAAAAATGGGTTCGGATTTGAAAAATATTTAACTATTATCAGTCATGCTAAGGGTTTCGTTTTGCTAAAATTGTCACTTTTATAGCATATTTGTTTTTGGATGTTTTGCGAAACCAAAAAAAAACTATGATATACAATGTGTGTGTAAAGAAAATACTTTATTTACTAGTTAAAAAATCATTTGGTATTGATCAAGTTATTTTTTCTGGATAAGATATTATATGGATAATTGGATAGAAAATACAATTATATAATCTTGTACCTGGTTTAATTAAGCTAATTGTCATCAGAAACTTGTAATTTTTATGAATTTCAGATTTTCTTTTCATTACTGCTTTTCTTAATAGGTCAAGTTCTTATTTACGTTATAAAGTATGATATTTACAAATATCAAGTTATCGTGTTTTTTGAGAAATTATGAGAAACAAACAAAAATGAAAAAGATAGGAATAGCAATGAATAGTGATGTGGGTATAGAAATGTAAGAGATATGAATGCAAAGCAATCAGTATTTAGGATATTGACCATAGATTTCGAAAAAAAAATGCTGCATATTGAGCGAAAACTATGATTATATTATAAGGCTGTCATTTAAAGCATAATGAAACTATTCCCTTTTCATTTTAATCGAATAAGATAGTAAAGATTTTTGAATTAGCTAGAAACTGATGAGATGTTTTCATAAATCAGATTTTTAATCTCTATAATGTATAATTCACTCAATATCTCAATTTTGATATTGCGAGATATTTTTGCTATCGGTTTCGCAATTTTGACACAATAGCAAGAGGGTTCTATAAGCATTATTATCAACGTAGAATCTGAATATCATATCAGAAAATGTCGCAAATCCGACATCTACCCGACCAAATAGCAAAAATAATTGAATACTTTTCGCAAAAACTTTAAAAATCGATAAAAATATGAAATATAGATATTAAAGAGACTTTTTATATAATATTCATAAAGATTTTCCAAAAATATGATACCGCAAAATTAAAAAAGTGACGTCTTGAGTGGAGTTAAAGGTCGAAATTGCTAGCTAAATGTTTTTTAGCGAAATTGCGTATTGTACGTTTTTTTCGCAAAACGAAACCCTTAGTCATGCAAATTTAACATATTAAAAAAAGATTTGATGTTTCGATTACAATCACTTCACATTTAATTTTCTTTTCAATATTTTTTTTTCTTCTTTTCTCGTCCCATCATAATGACAAAACAACTATTTCATGTTTTAAAAGATGGGGCAATCTTTTCATCGCGTGATGCATCAGCCTATTCTGATAAAACAGCACAAGAAATCCTGGAAAACTTAAAAGAACCAAATTCAGTTCTGGCGATTCAAACACTCACATCAATTATACCAATCAAACCAACAGATAAACCATTAAAAATGTATCCTTCTATCATTGGTCAATGCGCTTTAGAAATTAATGAAGTCGAAAACGCCTTAATTATCCAACCTGAAGATTTCCTTGGTAAAATTTCGTTTTTCTTTGAGTGCAAGACACAAGAGACTGAGCATGTTCCGAATTTCCCAGTTACATTTGACCAGCAGGAACTTAAAACAATTTCATTTGACAAATTTTTGACAACTGTTACGGAAAGTTTCGATCTACCACACACCGATGGAAAAATATACCACGACGACAAATTACTCGATGCCGATACAAAAACAGCCGACATTTTGAAGTGGATTTACGAAAAACCTCTTACATTCCAATGCACATTAGAAGAAAAAGGTTGTTACAGACTTAGAATGCGTAGAAATCTCATTACGGAAATTGCAAGTACAGAAATTACATACATTAACGACTTAAATACCTTAATTAATTATTTCAAGCCACAACTTGAAAGAACGAAGCTTTTAAAGGAAGACCAAGTCGCCATGATCTTCAAAGAGATCCCTACAATCTTAAGTTGCCATATCCACTTCTTATCTTCAATCAAAGCCAGAGGAAGCGGCTTCGACGCCATTGTTTCGGATTGTTTCATGGAGTTCTCCAGGTTCTTCAAGCTTTCGGCCAACTACGTCTCTCATTACCACGATATCGCAAAAATTGCCGGCCAATTAAACGAAAAAGACATGGAAGAGATCATCAAGAAGTGTCCACTTAACGATCTAGGTAGAGATTTCCAGTCCTATTTGATTACTCCCGTTCAAAGATTACCAAGATACATTTTATTCATCCGTGAACTGATCAAATTCACTCCGAAATGCCACCCAGACGCTGCCGGCCTCCAAATTGCCCAAATCAAGATCGACGCCGTTACAAAAGAGATCGAAGAGCAAAAAGACAAGAACGAGCACATCTATTCGATCGCAAACCTCCAGAACAGACTTACACCTCCAATTACATTACTCGCTCCTGCGAGAGATCTTCTTGAAAAATTCAAGATCCAAATTCTTGAACCGCCGTTGAAATCTCCCTGCAGATTATACCATTTTACGGATATGTGCCTCATTGTGACCAAGCTGAAATCGAAATCCCACCAAGTTATGTACGATTCTCTCATAATGCAGATGAATTACGATCCGAACTTCGGCCAGGACACTGTTTTATTCGTAAACCAGGGTAAACCGTTGATTGTCAAGTTCAATTCGCAGAACGAGAAGAACAATTACCTCCAAAAAGTCACAATTGAGCGAACAAGGCTTTACTCCAACAATTTCAACAAGAGAAACTCAATACTGTGGTCTGATGTCCATGTTTCCGCACTTCCACCACCTGTTACGAGTTTAGATGCAGCGAATTTGAACGATGACATTTATTTCACCGGCGGTTTGGCCCAAACACGAGACACAAAGGAGAAAGTGAAGATGCCATTGATTATTTACAATGTACAGACCAATGTCTTATCGCATTCCGCGATTCTTTCACTTCCTTTCGTCGGATCAAGTGTTTGTTCGAACAACAACAAACTGTTCGTGTTCGGCGGCATCAAGAAAGAATCACAGAAGCCAACGAAGGCTGTTTTTGCCTTTGACAACATCACTTCACAATGGCAAGAATTTTCTTCATTAGAAACAGCTGATTCTCGAAGTTTCCACTCAGCAGTTCTCTTCCAGAACAAAATGTTCGTATTCGGAGGAAAGAACGCTAAGGGAGAATCTCTCGGAGACACTTTAGTTTTGGATTTGAATACAAAACAATTCAATAGTTTACAAACAAAAGGTGACATAAAACCACCACCACGCATGTCACATTCATGTGTTGTTGTTGGCAATTACATGATAATACACGGCGGCAGAGACCACAAGAAGTTTTATTCAGATATCTGGTGTTTGGATCTGATAAAATACGAGTGGACAAAAATTGGTGTCAAAAATGATGTCAAAATTCATAAAAGAGCCGGACATCGGTGTATCATTGTAGGTACAACTATGTTTGTCATTGGCGGATGCAACAAGAACGAGGAAGGCCAGAAGATGAAGTCAATTGCATTAGATTTGGCAACAGGAAACTGCGAAATCATGAATGACGAAGGAAATGTCCCTTCAATCACAAATTTCGCTCTCGGAATTGCTCACGACAAATTCATCATTTACGGTGGACAGGATTTGGATACTGCGTCAATAAGATCTTCTCTGCTACAGTTGAGTATCCCTGAAAGATTCTTCACCAAACAGAAGACATTTAACTTCAATCCAAAGCTGTTAGAAAAGAAACCAAAATCAAATAAAAAAGAAAAATCAGAAAAAAGTGACAAATCTGAGAAAAGTGACAAAAATAAACCAAAAGCACGAAATCCATCACCAGAAATCAGGCGCGAGAACTCTTTGAAGCAGAAGAGCGGTGAACCAGAGATAAAGAGAGATAATTCGTTCAACCAAAAGAGAGAAAGTTTGGATCCGTCATCTCTAATCAAACAAAAGAGAGAAAGTTTGGATCCGTCATCTCTAATCAAACAAAAGAGAGAAAGTTTGGATCCGTCATCTCTAATCAAACAAAAGAGAGAAAGTTTGGATCCGTCATCTCTAATCAACCAAATTAATCAGGTTCATCTTCATAAAGTGGATTCGTCAAAACCGCTCAAACCGTCATTTTCATCCGACCACTTAAGAGCTAAAACACCAAACGCGGAAACGAAATCTCCTTCTCAAACGGAATTGTCAAAATTGGCACCAGAAAAACAGCAGCCAATATCTGTAAATCCATTTGAAAACAGAATGCCAAAATTGAGACCAATTGAGAAGAAAAGTGACGGTTTTGAAAAACCGAAATTAAAACCGGTTGAAAAGAAAAGTGACACTCCAAAAGTACCACCACAGAACACTTTTGAAAAGCCGAAGCTTCGTCCTGTTGAGAAGAAATCAGATTCGTCTGCATCTCAGAAAGAAGAAGGTGAATTTGATTTCGATAAATACGCAAAAGAAAAGAAAATTGACATCAGCAGTTTACAATCGTTTAGACAAAAAATGGTCAAAGCCAAGTTGCAAACATTGTACAACCTAGAAATGGAGAACAAGAAGCTGCAACAAGAAGGCTCTTCCATAGGAAATTCCCAGGTTTCAATGCCAAACACAAAAGTTGGAATTTTCGATGGAAAAAGTTGCAAAACAATTATTCTCAAAAACAGAGTGAACTTCGATGAGTTTTTGAAGCAGATCTCGACTTATACGAAGGGAAAGTCGAATCTGATGATTAAACTTAGAAACTCTCCAACAGCTGTTAAATTAACAAAGGAATCATTTATTAGCGCTTCTGCTAATACAAATGTTTTGAAAATTATTGTTCAATAAAAAAATAATAAAAAAAGATTTATTCGTTTTAAATAATTTTGACTTTTTTTATAAGAAAACTCTCGTTAAACATTACATCATCACAAAACAAATCAAAGATCCTAATCAGGTATTTTTTTAATCATGTAAGAGTGTACTTTCATCCCTATGACACGACCTTTAATTTAGATGTTTAAGGTTAATTTTCAATGACGCTTCACGCCAGTTGTCAAAATTTTGAATTGAAGTCAGATGGGTGTAAGTGCAGCCCAAAGGGTGCACTTTCTGATATCTTTTCATGACATCAGATTATGGCTTATTAATAAAACAGTCATATAATAAGAGTTATATAAAACTTGTGGTTCTGCAAAAACGATTATTTAAAATTGAATTTGAATATATTTTGCGTATTTGAAAATCAAATATTTCTTTTTCGATTTAAAATTTAATTTGTGAATGCTTAACCAAGGCATAATATTATAACAGATCTGCAAAAATTCTAAGTTTTGCGTGTCTTTCCGCAATATTTTGGGAATGCGTCAGAAAGTGACAAGTGCTCTTTCATACAGTATACACACCAATAAAACATAAAAATAATAAGAGATAATTCTTTTGTTAAAATATATTTATACATTCTTGATATATTCATAAAACATATGAAAGATCTCAAACACATGAATCACTAAAACCAAATCTAATATAAAAACATATTATCGGTCATGCATAGTAGCTTTTGCTCAATAAGAAAGAACTATTAAAAAGTTATTTTATTTGGTTTTATTATAATTACCTTTATTTTTAAACTTGTGGTTCTGCATCTTCCTTAGACTTCGATAATACGCAGCATGGCATGCAATTTGCGCAGCAACCATGGCAGCAGCAGCATGTGCAGCAAACGCAGCAGAGGACGCAACCGATGACACTCAAGATGGTAATAATAATGGCAACAATAAGAACAATGTAAAGTGGATGCAATGGACCTGTAAATGTCTCAAATTCATAACTTTGAGTATTTGCTTTGTATAAACCACCTTCAGGATTAAGCGTTAATTGATAATCTTGCAAATAGAGCCTTCTCGATGATGTAACAGATTGATTTTGATAAATTTCAACATCAACCCATTTATTGCTATCCCATCCAAAATCATGAGCAACGAATGAAAGGTGATTAAAAGAAGTACTGATAGTCCACGGATCAAGCTCTGAATCAGGTTTCATTCTGATTTCAGGTTTTCCATCCTGGACAATGATACCATAATGTACAATTCTTCTTCCTGTGAAGGTATTTGATTTATTTTTGAGCGAGTTATAATTATAAAGTTTCATTTCTCCCTTTGTTTTTGAAGATATTGTTACATGATCGTAGCGCTCGAGTTTTGCAGCTTTCATTATGGTTGGTGTGTAAGGAAAATGAATTGCAGTGAAATTACAAAGATCTTCTAAGCAAACAATTTCTGTAGATGCTTCTCGCGAATGACCAACACCTATATTAATATTTACGCCACCAGTAACAGCAATAGGATCCTCAATCCATTGCGTTGTTGTTGCTTTAGATGCCATTATATCAAAAAGCTGAGTACGCGCTTTAAACTTTTTATCCGAGCTAAATATGTAATTGCCTTTGATGCAAATCAATTCATCTTTTGGAATAGTAAAGTTATGATAGGTTATTGAGTTACTATAAAATCTATCACAGTACTCTTTGCAATTCTCGAAGTCCGCAGATAATGACTTGTAAGCATAGATCAAAAGCATTTCTAAAAATGAAATAAAAGATTCTGAATTTTGAAAAATAACTCAAAAATTGAATGTATATTTGAATTAGTATTGAATTAACCAAATTACTTAAGACTTTTCAGAGGATTGAGTGATCACTCAATCTTCTGAAATACTCTAAAGTAATTTGGTGTTTGGCCACTATTTAAATATTAGTTCCATTTTTTTTATCTAACATTGAAAATGTGAAGAAGCTCACATTTTTAAAATCCGATAATTCTAGAAATATAACCTTAGGCTCAATTATTTTGTTTTTTCGCAATAAATACGTTAATTTGCTGAATTCATAATTGAATGACGTGAGTTTATATGACCCAAAAGAATAGAAAATTATTTTGTATATGCTTTTGTAGTCCAGTTTTTAAGTTTTTTAATTTCTGATGGGCCGTTGTGAAAAATACCGATTTACAAATTTTACTCAGTACCATATGTAATGTTAATCTATATAAAATTTCAGATTTGAAGTCGAATGAGAGCTTTATGACTATTCAATAATTCAAAGGGAACTAGTTGAACTGAGAAATGAAGTTTAATCCTCGTGTGATATTTCAAGTAATGACAAATAAACATATTTTTCATTTAGTCAAAATGTACTTTTGAATTTTAGTACACTTTGTTAAGTACATTATTGATAGTTGAGAAACGATTCTTTTTTATGACAACGTCACCGGACCAACGATATTTTTTTTAATTAGTCGGTCACCAAATGATGTAGAATCTATATGTATTGAAAATCCGAAATTTCATTGTTTCATTTAGTTTTCTTATCTTCTCAAAAAAATTGAAAGGTAATCACCCGTGATTCGTAATTGAAAGTTATCAAAAGGTTGAACGGTTGAAAACCAAATCATAAATTTGTTGTAGAATATCATATGATTTTGATTTCAAAATATTGTGTCATAATTTCGATTTTAGCTTTTATATATTGAATTTCTCCCAAACCATAGTGATGACTTTAATTATCATTTTCATTTTTACGAAATTCCAAATTCTCACTTATCATTAATTTGGAGCCTTGGCATTTACTTTTTATTTTTGTTTGAGAGATGTATTAGAATTCAAAAACATGCTCAATTCAAACTTATTCCCACTATTGGGGGTGTAGGTTACTCGATTTAAATATTTGAATATTATAATATTTAACAAAGAGACAAAATTTTTGCATTTGTTGTATCCTCTTGAATTACCACTGATATTTCTAACAATCAAATTTTTGATAATTCAGATTTTTTGAATATTGCAGTTTTAGTTGCTAAATCCCAATGTCTTTTGCAAAAAATGAAGTTCAAAGTAATACTTATTTCCGATTTTTATCCCTGCTATATCACTAAAAGGATATCATCATAATATTTATTATCTTCATTAGCCATGAACATCTCTTTCTATTCATGATTAATACACTTCCATAATTAACTATGTAATGCATTCACTCCTTATAATCTGATCAGTAAATTTTCAAATTTAGTTTGCTTCTTTTAAGTCTTCGGTATTGATCACAATTTTGTAATGTTTAATATTTGAGAGAATGGTGTGATATCTTAGATCTAAAGATAAAAATTTGATAAGAAAAATAGCATATTTTTGGAATTAAACAAATAAAACATGCATGTTTTTACATATATGATAGAAAACAAGATATTTGATAAAATTAATTTCAAAATTAATTTTGATTGTGCAAATCTATTAATTTAGATATAACTATGCTAAATTCATTAATTTGGCTTTTCGTTTGTAGTTTGAAAGAATCGGTCTACGAATCGTTGATCTAAACCATATTCATTGCATACTATCCGTACTTTTTCTTTAGGCATATTATCTTCGCTACTTGTTGATGCAGTAGATGCAATTTCGCCACTTTGGCTTGGAGGGATACCGAAATATTTTGTTGGGTTATTTTCACAATCCTCTTTTAGCACAGTATTCCACCTATTCTTTATGCAATTATCTGAACGTCCGCGTAAATATGTTGATATTTGAGATCATTTAGTTCCTAATTCCTTAATTTTTTGAACTATGATAATATCTTCTTCCAGACTCCATGGAGCCAACGAATTTTTTGGGGACAGATAATTATGCCATCTGTCTCTTAGTTGCTTCGGTGTAAAACCTGGCATTGATTTGGCTACAGCTTTCCAGCCAGAAAAGTTGCCTTCACGAATGATCTGCTCCAGACGTTTATCATCTTGCGGGCTGAAAAGTCTTCGCCGTTTGATTCCAACTGAGTTGCGATCATCACTCATGAAATTTTTTTCGAATAAAAACCTCAGAATGAAAAAATAGGTCTATTGAAAAAATTGTGAGAAATTTACGGTTTAAGTTGTTTTGACATTCAAAGTTTGAATAAACATATGAAAAATGAATATTTGGAATCAAACAAATTGCATTTTATACTCCACAATTTGATTTAAAACTCGTTTTTCATTATTATTTCATGAAATATTGAAATATGTCGCTAAACGACAATTTCAGTTTCTGGATATCAGTATTGACACTAAGAATTCACCTGGTTTCGCATGTGGATATTGGATACAATAATGTTCATTGATATTACATAAATGGAAATTAGCCCCAAGTAAATAAAAACAACGAGTCCAGTAAAAATAACAAAATTGGTAGTATTACATATATTGATTAAAAGTATGATTATTGGCCTTTCATATATTTGACTTGATGGACCATCAAATCGAAAACAGAATTCGTCTGATCACTAAAAACAACTTGATTGATTTATCATGAACTATGAATAAATTTTATATTTATTGTGTTGATATTTCAATCTGAATTAATTTTTTTAAATAATTTTTGAATTTAAGGCAAATAGTCCAAATAAAATATTTCGGAATAAATTTGTATTATTATCATGTTTTTTGAAGAAAATAATATCTATTTTCGTAAAAAAAACGAAAAATAAGAGGGTGTCCAACCAAAGATTTAACGATGATTTTGGCTCCAAATTTGGTATATGATATGGGGATGGTGTCTAGGTCAATACTATTGTATTCACTAGTAATATAAAATGTTCAATTTTGAGATATAAAATTATATGAGGAAAAAATTTATTTTTTTGAAAATATTTGAAAAATTTAAAGAAATGTAATAGTAAAAGAGGAAAATTAAAAAAAGTAAATAATGAATATGGAAGATTTTTATGGAAATGTTAGAATATAGATCTGCAATTTTCCCAAATGAACGGGGTGGATAAGATCCCAGCCCTATCGTCATCCCAGTGTCAATTTTACAAAAAAAATTCTTAATAAAAAATTTTTATTAAAAAATTCTTATCTTTTTTCATTGAAATTTAAATAATAAAATAAATTTGGCTGTAAAAACCATCAATTATTATAATTCTTATCGAAACACATGTAGAAAAACACTTATCTTTTATACTCTTTCTATTTGAAACCTGTTTAGTTCAGTAATTAATAATAAAAATTGTGAAAATAGTGACTATTTAACTAAAAATATATTAAATGATGTAATAATGAGATATACATATATTTTTACGAATTATAATTAGAAATTATTCTGGTCTGGGAATCCCAACCCAAAATCATTGAAAATTTGAATATATGGGATGGGCTACCCATCCCAAAACTATATTGAAATTTTTGAATTGATAATAAATGTATCTATATCTAAGGTATATTAGAGAATTTTTAAAAATTATGCATTAAAAAATTGAATTTATTCAAAACAAATTGAGAATAAAAATGCTTAAGTAATCACTTCATTATTTCAACAATGATTGATGCAGTACCGACGTACTATAAAGACATTGAGGTCGGTACTAAGCGTCAGTATCTTAGATATAAAAAACCAGGCGACAAGTACGGAAAATATTATGTTAAATGCAATGAACTAGTAAAGCGTCCTGACGGAACTATATGCCACTGTGCAATGGAAGAAATGCGTGAGGATCATTTCAAAAAATGGATCCAAAACAAACGGCACATATGCACACCAGGAGAAGTAGCATCACAACAAACAATCGATCAATACTATCAAAACGTCCCAGCAACAGGGCTTACACCTATATCGTTAGGGGATATCTATGAACAGCTTGCTACATTTACTGGAAGATTTAACTTGGCTCTGAATACCTTCTCAAGCCCAGAGTTTACAAAGCTAGTTAAAACCATTATAATGTATACTGCAGACTCGATGATATTGAAGTTCCCACAGTTACACAATGTTAACATCAATGTTGATAAACTAGCTTCTCAAATATACCAGCCTATTTCAACTGACAAACTAAGGCAAACAATGATACAAATTGCAAATTCAATCCATGTTGCAAAAGTTGATGAGTTTGCTAAGCTTGCCTGTACCTGTGTTGCCATTGATGAGGGGAAGACTCAGCAGTTTCACAATCTGGACTTCTCCCTCACAAATCCTCTGCAAAGTAAGCGGCCCTATCCTGTTGAGTCAATCCAAATGAATGGTGGAACATCTGAAGATTATAACAGAATCTTCATTAGAGATGTTAAGATCAGCAGTGTAGTTTGCGATGGCAATAAAGCGCAATTGAAATGTTTTCAGAAAGGATGGAATCAATCGTTCTACAACTCAAATGACCCAAGGTTATTCAAAATCTTGTTTATCCCGTGTTTATGCTACAGGATTCATAATTGTTATCAATATATGACAACAAAAGACGTAGCATTAGGAGCAATTGTGAAACATATCCACGAAATATCAGCTCTTTGTAGAATCCATGTTGAAGACATCGGAGCTCTCTGTCCAAAGCATGTATCCACCAGGTGGATCTATGATTATAATATTTGTATGTTTATTATCAAGTATCAAGACAAAATTTCAAGATATACGCGTATTGATATTGAAAACATCAAGTTCTTAAGAGACTGCTTGGCAATTCTCAAGAAGCTTATTTCCACGTTCGAATCAGATAAAACCAAGATATCTGATTGCTACGTATGGCTTTGCAAGGGTATTGAAGCACTCCAATACCTTTCCAGCAGCAACAACAATCCTTTTGCTGGAATCCTTTCAAGATCGTTGTTGAACTATACCCTTGGATCGGACTTTGGAGGTCTTTGGTGCTTAGCCTTCGCTTTTACACCGAAAGGTAGGTATTATTTCAACCAAAAATTCGTCCACGGAGCGCAGATCAACGAATCTCCGGCAATTAATTCATTTGATATTACAAACGTAACTTTCGTTAATCCAGTAGAAGACATTCAATCTATCTATATGGACTCTATCTTTGAAGAAGGTTCGACTGAAGTTTCTCTTGATATGGTTGAGGAGGGATCAATTCGTCAGGTAACTGCAACAATTGACCCTCCTATGCTTGATCTCGCAGATGTAACATCTAGTTCAAATCAGCCGGTTAACCATTTTGTTGCAGCTAGGCAGTATCTCAAAAGTATTTTGGAACAATTTCGTATTCCGGGTCAAACAATAACAGATATTATTACACTATTTAACACGTATATTAATAGTGATAATGATATCTTCTCTGATGATATGATTCAAGAACGTCAAGAATACGGTTGGGAAGAAATCTCTCATAGAGATGGCAATGTATCAATCTTTGCAGATATCGCCCTTCGTGTTATCTCCGCTTCACCTTCAGAAGCAACATGTGAGAGAACAATAAAAGACCAAAGATTGATACTAAATTTGAAAAGATTACGTTCTCACAAAATTTTATTAGATAGCCGAGAAATTTTAATGGCTACAAAATAAATATCTATATTGTTTTATATTTTATCTGTTCAATATTTATCTCATATAAAAATTTGAAATACTTAATCAAAATTTCTATGTGTTTGTTTGAAAGAGATCGATAGCAATTCATATATCTTTTGAATTTGCTAATTGTGGTGATGGTACTATTATTATTAATTTTTTATTTTTATTTTTTTTTTTATTTTTTTTTTTTGATAATATACTATTTAGATTTATACATTCATTCAATATTATGAAATAAATATTTCTAAATTGATCTGATTAATTTTTCATTAAAGTTTATATTATCACCAAATAAATTTTCGAACCCTTAGAGTCATAGTTCAATGGTAAGAGTCATAGTATAATCGTAAAGTCCATTGGTTCGAATCATGGGGATTTTCACACTTTTTTCTTTTTTAAAATTTCAGAGGTTTATTTTTAAGGTTCTCGCTGGCGACCCCCGTTCGTCGAAAAAAAAATTTGATTTTTGCTGGCGACCCCCCAATCACCAATTTTTTTCGACGAACGTGGGGGGTCGCCAGCGAGAACCTTAAAAAAAACAGAATCCCAAAAAGGTGACATTTTGGGTGTATCGTCTATCCCAGGGATAGAAAAATGACTTCACCTTGGATCTATATGTTAGAATCATATAACTTGCGATTTGGTCAATTAAAGCAAAATGAGTAATTTAGCATGATGATGGATTTTAGAAGGGGGAAACACAAATTAAAATCTAATAGGAACGTCAATATAAAATATATAAATAAAATATGTGGTGTTACAGAACGGTTTTTGCACCTACAAAGAGAGGTATCAGGTTCAAATCTCATCTAATTATTTTTTTCTCCCAATTTTGATTGTTTGATATATCAAGAAAATTAACAAATATATATATGAATTAATGAATAATTAAAGAATTAGAATGATTTTAAAAATATTAGAATAATCATGGATAAATCAATCTCAGATTTAAGATATTTGACAAATAATATAAAATATTGAAGATTCTTATGTCGGTATTTAGCATTCATTGTACAAAAAAGATGTAAATCAAGTGGATCCTTTGATGATCTTAAAAGATTTTGTTTGAGAGTATTTGAGATATGATACAATAGATTTCATTGAGAACATCAGTGTAAAAGTAAGATAGGGATAGAAAATATAATGGTTAATACAATATTATTATATTAAAAAAATGAAGTTCAGAAATTTGAAAGAAAATAGTATTTTATGCAAATAAGTAGTTCAAAATTTGTCATTCTGGGAGACATTGCCAATGCATGTCTCCCGGAATGGCATAATATTTTGCAATCAGAGTGTGATTGCAAAACTTTGACCGACAAGAGTGTGTTATGCACTCTTGTCGGTCGCAATGTGTCATTCTGGGAGATATTGCCAATGCATGTCTCCCGGAATGGCATAATATTTTGCAATCAGAGTGTGATTGCAAAACTTTGACCGACAAGAGTGTGTTATGCACTCTTGTCGGTCGCAATGTGTCATTCTGGGAGACATTGCCAATGCATGTCTCCCGGAATGGCATAAT